CCTTTGTCTCCCCGGGTACTGGCCTCCCGCACTGGCTCCACCTGGGAGAGACTCCCGCGGCAGCCGGCCTGGAAATAATGACTCGGGCTGGCGATAACCTCGTCTCGCACACACTCACACCGGCTCGGCCTCGGCTGGGGCGGGGGGTGAGGAAAGGGGCTGCTCGCAGGAGCACGCGAAGGATGAGGCACTGCCCGGTGTCCCGGGGGAAAAAAGCCCCCAGAAGTGCCAGGGGGGCTCACGAGCGCACGTGGCCACCGGGCACGGGGAAGGGGGGGCAGCTGGAAAGTAGTGCCCTGACTACCGGAGTTGTCCTCCGATCCGCTTTCCGGGATGGCCGGTGCAGGGGAGCACCGCGGGCGGCGAGGGACACACATCCCCCCACCCCCCCGCGGGGCCACTGTCACATTCTCCCACTCGAAGGGGCGGCGTGGGCAGGACGGGGCTGCGGAGGGCAGGGCTCAGCCCGAAGCCCTCAGCTCCTGAGGAGGGAGAGGGGGAGTAGGAGGCGGGCGAGCCCGCAGAAGTCCCTGCCGGGCGCTGGCAGTGGGGGCAGGGGCGCTGCTGCCTGCTGCACAACCTGGGACTCCCCAGCGCTTTCCCCGGAGGCTCTTCCCGGGAGAGCCGCCAGACACCCCGGGGCACGCAGCCGAAGGCCCCAAGACAATAAGATCCGACGCTAAGACCTCTCCTGGCAAAGTCTCAGGATGCCGAAAGTATTTCAGCAGAGACTTTTCCCCCCTCCCCCGGCGGGGCTCCGCGCCGGGCCGGTGGCGCCGAGCCGTGCCGAGCCGAGCCGTGGCAGCGGGGCCACAGCCAGTTGCGGGAGGAGGAGAGAGCACGGGAGGGCTGCAGGGCTGCTGTGTGGGGGACGGTCGGAAACATCCCCCGGGAGAGGTGGCGGCGGGGGAGGAGTGGAGTGGTGATTTAAAGGGACTCCCGCGAAAGGGAGCGACACAGACCTGCGGCCGTCCGCCGAATCCAATCTGCCGAGCTTTGGGTGCGAAGAGACGCTGTCAGGGGCTATTTATCTCTCGCCAGAGCGGCGGCTCCGGTCCCCGCATCGCCCGCCGGTAACAATGGCAGCGGCCGGCAGCTTTCCACGCGCCTGGGCGGCGGAATGGATGGCGGAAGATGCCGCCGCGCTCCGCTCACACGGGCTCGCTCATGCATCCCTCTTGGCCAGAGCCTCTCGCTACTGCCGCTCCGCCGAGAGCTCTGGCCCGCTCCCCCCACCTTCCTCCCCCACCCCCCCCCCGCAGCCCGCCCTTCCCCAATTTTCCATTTTCAGGACTTTGGCACGGAGCCAGACATGTCAGGAGGGGATGAAACTTGACACAGAGATCTCAACCCAGAGCGATTT